CAACACAGTGCTAGGCTGCATTAACAGAGGGATAGAATCAAGATCACGTGAAGTATTAATACCACTTTACAATGCCTTGGTAAGGCCACACTTGGAATACTGCATCCAGTTTTGGTCACCACGATGTAAAAAAGATGTTGAGACTCTGGAAAGAGTACAGAGAAGAGCAACAAAGATGATTAGGGGACTGGAGGCTAAAACATAAGGAATGGTTGCTGGAATTGGGTATGTCTAGTTTAATGAAGAGAAGGACGAGGGGGGACATGATAGCAGTCTTCCAATATCTCAGGGGCTACCACAAAGAAGAGGGAGTCAAGCTATTTTCCAAAGCGCCTGAGGGCAGGACAAGAAGCAATGGATGGAAACTAATCAAGGAGAGAAGCAACCTAGAACTAAGGAGAAACTTCCTGACAGTTAGAACAATTAACCAGTGGAACAACCTTCCTCCAGAAGCTGTGAATGCTCCAACACTGGAAGTTTTTAAGAAGAAACTGGACAGCCATTTGTCCGAAATGGTATAGGGTTACCTGCCTGAGCAGGGGGTTGGACTTGATGACCTCCAAGATCCCTTCCAACTTATTATTATTATTATTATTATTATTATTATTATTATTATTATTATTATTATTATTATTATTATTATTATTATTATTATTATTATTATTTCATACTTGCTGTTAACAGAAGCTGGTGAGTTTTCCGTTCCCTATTGTTGGGCTCTGCTTTTGTAGGGCTATTTGACTAATAATAATAGTAATAGTAATAATAGTAGTAGTAATAATAATAATAATAATGTTGGAAGGGACCTTGGAGGTCATCTAGTCCAACCCCCTGCTCAGGTAGGAAACCCAGTACCAGGGCTTTTCAACTGGTGGTACGCTGGCAGGTGGTACGCGACCCTGCCTAGCCTAGACAAGTGTAGTGGGAGGGAATGAGCTAAAGCGGCACAGTACAGGACTTGCTGTGAGAGAGTCATCAGGTACTGCAGGGGTGAGACAGGCCCCTGGATCAGCACTTCCGGCACACCCGGAAGAGAAAGGAGGAGGAGGGTGGAGACAGGAGAGGATATAAAAGGAGGCAGTTTTGGCAGGAGAGGGAGAGGAAAAAAAAAGACGTTGGAGAAAGAGTCAGAAGAGAAAAGGCTTTTGTCAGAGAAGAGGTGAGAGAGAGGAAAGGCTTTTGGGGAGGTGTGTGAGAGAAGCAGAGAGGAAAAGCTTTTGGGGAGGTCTGTGTGAGGCAGAGGAAAGGCTTTTGGGGTTAGGGTTAGGGTAGGTAGTGGTGCATATTAATAAATATTGAGAAATTCATCATACATTTGTCAGTGTAAAAGGAAAGTGATTGTCATGGTTCCAATAGATGAAGCCATTTAAAAGAACTTTAAGGGAAAGATTTCTTCCTTAAAGAACATTTTATTCAGGAAACAAAGTATCGGCACTTACATAGTTGAACCCAAGACTAAAGTTCCCTCCCCTCTGATACAACGTAACAAGTTGCAATTCCCACCCAAGAAAGGCTGTCATAAATCACATTCACCAATTAATCTAAAACACGGGCTCTCCTCCCTACTTTTCAGCCCGCCAAAACTTTATCTAGAATTGACCTTGAAGCTCACCCAGCTGCAATTGTTTAGGCTAACTGAAAATGCTCAAGCATTCCCCCCTTCCCCCCTTCTACATCTGAGAATCCCAAACAACAGAAAAGCACAAAGAAAGCAAAAGGTAAAATGGCTGCGATTTCTTAATTGTCACAGCCTTGACATCCGGCCTCCCTTAACAGAAAGGAGAAGTCCTGCAAATCAAACAAAAACATAGGTTAAGGATTTCCCCTCGGTTTGTTCGGATGTTTATCATAAAATTTACGAATAAGTCTATCAGCTTTTACATCAGTACATTTCACCCAAGTAGCTTCTGACAATGGGTAGCCTTTCCACTGCACCAAGTATTGCAATCTCCCCTTGTACAAGATAGCATCAAGAATACGTTTCACCTCGTAGTGAGTCTCCCCAGCCACCACAAGGGGTACACGAGCTTTCTTGGGAGGGGGCCTTAGAGTTGATTCTCTGAAAGGTTTCAACAAGCTGCAGTGAAATATAGGGTGAATCTTCCCTAAAAGCCGAGGAAGTTTTAATTCTACAGTAACTGGGTTTAGAACTCGCACTATGGGGAAAGGACCCAGGTATTTCAATCCCAATTTTTTACTAGGCAATTTGAGTCTTAAATACTTCGTGGACAGATAAACCCTTTCCCCCACACGAAATGACCTCTGGGGAGCTCTTTTCTTATCGGCTTGTTTTTTATACGTTTCTGAAGCTTTTTTCAATGCTTTTTTGGCATTGTCCCACACTCCCTTCCAAGCTGACACCCATTGGTCTAACGTCTGAGAGGCAGGGGGACCTTGGGGGTATTCAGGCATTGGGATAAAATCCTTTCCAGTGGTGATCTTAAAAGGCGTGAAACCGGTGCTACTGTGAACAGTGTTGTTGTAAGCCACTTCAGCGAATGGTAGGAGGTCAGTCCAGTTCATCTGTTGGTAATCCACATAGCACCTAAGATATTGTTCCACCATTGCGTTCGCTTTTTCAGCCGCCCCATTCGTAGATAGATGAAACGCCGATGACAGTCCTTGCGTTGAGCCAATTATTTTCAGAAAGTTTCTCCAGAATTTAGCCGTAAATTGCACCCCCGTCAGAGATTACACGCTTTGGCGCTGTTCTATCCCAGCCTATTGCCGTCCTTGTCAGAGGCACAAGGACCAAACCCCTGCTGATACAATAGGCTGGAGACTTTAAAACAAAACAAAATCCCTTTTATTTGGGTGACAAACCTGTCAATAAGTCCAAAACACAAACAGCAAAACTCAAGTCCAAAGGAAGGAAATAGTCCACAGGAACACGTTGCAAACAAGACGAACAGACCAGGATTCCAAGAAGCACTTTGC